TTTTCATTAAGACAGTATTGCCTTGATTTTCCAATATTTACAAAGATAGACAGTAAATTTCACTTTTCACACAAGGTCACAGAGCACTTTGATTGTGCTTACAACTCCATCTCTGTGATTTCTTTAGACGTAGATATGTGATATCTGACCTTCCAGCATTATGTTTAGTCTTAATATATAAAAAAGCAGAATGCTATCTACGAAATCTTCTAGGAGTAAACGATCACAGGTGTCTTAACCAGATGGTAAAACTAACTCTAAAATTCGGCAAAAAGCTTTCATACAAGCTGAAAGAACAACATTTGCCTTTAGAATATTCTTGTTGTTCTTCGTTCAAAATAGTAACAAGTCAACTATTTGACAAACGCCCCAAAAAAATAAGTTGTAAAGAGATTGCTACACATCGTAACCAACTCTTATTAAAATAAATCTACCAAATCATTGAAACTGTTGTATGTTTGTTCCAGTTAACGATACTATGACAATATGACTGGACTGTGCCATTTTAATATAAGAGAACGGTCGCCTATCTCTTTCTCTCTCTCTCTTTCTTGATTAAGACTTTTTCGAGTCTCTTTTTCGCTTGCAATGTCTGAGGGTCTAGAGAGTACCAGGACATAAGAATAGTATACATATTACAACAATCATCATGCAGAGACTTAGAGACCTACCATACACCACTCCTACATTCCGTCAACTCACTGCGTAAGTATCTATGTATTTCATACACTTCTTGCTTTAATTTTCATCCCTAACGAAGCCGCTTTTAGGTTTAGGGAAGGGCAGTGGGCTGACAACCCTGTACCTTAACAAAAGATCATCTGACAGACGAGCACCAAAGGAGCCACCTACACCTGTGCGCTTAATTAAGCCTTTCCTGAATCACCCAAAATGACACTGATCTCGATAGAAGTCCTAAGCATCAGCACTGATTAAGACCAGAATAAGTTTCTATGATGTACGAACCAAGAGAAAATTGGCGCGGGTGAGGTTAACCTAATTTTTATAACAGTCATATGGGATATCTTAAAACACTCTGAATCATTATTGCTCCAAAACAGTCTCCACTTGAAAAGTAAATACGTTCAAGGTGGTTGCCTAATAACCAGTGTTTATGAGGATGGTGCGCCAAATTCCTGATAGAGCTCAGCCAACTTCTCGTAACACTCGCTCGCATCTGGTC